ATAAATGTTGAAAAAAAAAATTAAAAATAAAATAAAATAAAATAAAAATAAAAATAAAAATAAAAACACATTACTCCTCTGGGGCGCCTGGGTGGCTCAGTCGGTTAAGCGGCCGACTTCAGCCAGGTCACGACCTCGCGGTCCGTGAGTTCGAGCCCCGCGTCGGGCTCTGGGCTGATGGCTCAGAGCCTGGAGCCTGTTTCCGATTCTGTGTCTCCCTCTCTCTCTGCCCCTCCTCTGTTCATGCTCTGTCTCTCTCTGTCCCCAAAATAAATAAACGTTGAAAAAAAAAAAAAAAAAGGAAAAAGAAAAAAAATCCACAAAATAAAAAGGTTTGTGTTTAGAAAAAACTAGTAAGCTAATCAGTGCTTCGCTAGTTTCATCAAGAAATGGAAAACAGAGGGTCACCTGGGTGGCTGAGTTGGTTAAGCATCTGACTGTTGATCTCAGTTCAGATCTCAGTTCAGGTTTGTGAGTTCAAGCCCCGCATCAGGCTGTGTGGTGACGGCACAGAGACTGTTTGGGATTCTGTCCCCCCTTCTCTTTGCCCCTCCTCTGCTTGTTCTCTCCCTCTCTCTCTGCATCTCTTTCTCTCTCAAAATAAACTAAAAAAAAAAAAAAAAAAAAAAAAAAAGAAATAGAAAATAAATTATACTATCAATAATAAAATGAGAGACATTATAACATAATCTGTAAGCATTAAAAGGACCTCAAAATTATTTAAAACCTTATGCCAATAAAGTCGACGACTTCAATGGAGTGGGCAAATAAATTCCTTGAAAAAGTTAAATTACCAAAACTGATAGAAGAGGACATAGGGAATCTGAATAGTCCAATATTTATTAAAGAAGTTGAATCTGGGGCGCCTGGGTGGCGCAGTCAGTTAAGCGCCCGACTTCAGCCAGGTCACGATCTCGCGGTCCGTGAGTTCGAGCCCGCGTCAGGCTCTGGGCTGATGGCTCAGAGCCTGGAGCCTGTTTCTGATTCTGTGTCTCCCTCTCTCTCTGCCCCTCCCCCGTTCATGCTCTGTCTCTCTCTGTCCCAAAAATAAATAAACGTTGAAAAAAAAATTTTATATATATATATAAAAAAAAAAAAAAAAGAAGTTGAATCCATAGTTTAAAAACCTTCCCCAAAGAAAATTCCAAGCCCTAATGGCTTCACATGTGAATTCTATCAAACATTTAGGTAAGAAATGATAGCAATCTTATATCAATCATAGAAGATAAAAATAATACATTTGACTTCAATGAAATTTAAGGGTTACATTCACCAAAGGACATAAATAAAACGAGCAGGCAAGCCACAGGCTGCAGAATGTTCCTAGTGATGCGTGTATCTGACAGAGCACTGGCGTCCTGAATATGCATAGAACACCTAAGAAATGGCAGGCAGAATTCACCTGGGCATGGAGTCTTCCAGTGGCAAACTTTTCAGCAGTTTCTTACAAAGTTGAACATGTCTTTACCATGCAACTCAGAAATTCACCATTTCTATGTATTTACTGGAGCAAAATGTACAAAAATGGGAGCTATATACTGGAAAACACAGCCATACACACAAAAAGTTTGCATAGGATTGTTCACAGCATCATTTAAAAAAACTAGTGCCAGCTTTGCGCAGTGGCAGTATCGTAGCCAATGAGGTTTATCCGAGGCGCGATTATTGCTAATTGAAAAAAACTAGTGCCAAGTTGGGAGCAACCCAAATGTCCAGAAAGAGAATAGGGACACAAGTGGTGGCCTGTTCATAGAATGGAACCCTACTCAGTAATGAAAAGGGATGCATTATTGACATACGGAACCACAGGGATGAAACACAAAACACCACCCTGAGCCCAAGGAACCTGACATGTAAACTAAATAGTGCAGGGGTCCACTTATTTGAACTCTGAAAACAGACAAGGCTGGTCTCTGGGGCTAGGAAGCAGTACAGCCATAGCCTAGGGCAAGGAGCATGAACTAGAAGGGAGCAGGAAAGAACTTTCTGACTTGATGACATTGTCCATTACCTTGTTTTGGCAAGTGGTTGCATATTTTTACACAATTGTCAAAACTCGTCTGACTGAATGCTTCAGAGCAATCCATTTTCTTTCTTTCTTTTTTTTAATGTTTCACTTATTTTTGAGAGAGAGAGAGAGAGAGATACAGGAGGAGAGGAGAGGGGCAGAGAGAGAGGGAGACACAGAATCTGAGACAGGCCCCAGGCTCTGAGCTGTCGGCACAGAACCTGATGCAGGGCTCCATCCCTTGAATTATGAGATCATGACCTGAGCCAAAATTGAATGCTTAACCGACTGAGCCCCCCAGGCGCCCCTAAAGCAATCCATTTTCTTTTATGTCAGTTAAGCCCCCATAAAGAAAACCAATTTCCTTTTGCCTGATATGGAAGCCCGTGTCTCCTTCTTCAACTTACTTCCCCACGTTCTCTAGTAGAATTACAAAATAAATAGGTAGATACAGACAGATAAGCAAATAAAAACACCATGACACTATCCATGTTTAGGATACACAGCTGTCAGACTTCTGTGTTTGTATTGCAGTTAATAGGTTCTGAGGATTTAATATGTTTGCTCTCTTTACACCATGAGATGTATGTTGCCAAGTGTCTCAAGTTAATAGCCACCTTCGGAGGCTGCCTCATGGCTGCCTCTGAGGTAAAGTCCATTGAGGTTGCCTGTCACTCCCTGAAGTGCCACATCCAAAAACCTCAGCCAGAACACAGGCGGGGGAATCACACGCAGGTTCCGCCCACTAATGTGGGCTCCAGTGAGTGAGAGAACCTGTGTGTGAAGAGGCCTATTTAAATTCTGGAAGGCTGGGGGCGCCTGGGTGGCGCAGTCGGTTGAGCGTCCGACTTCAGCCAGGTCACGATCTCGCGGTCCGTGAGTTCGAGCCCCGCGTTGGGCTCTGGGCTGATGGCTCAGAGCCTGGAGCCTGTTTCCAATTCTGTGTCTCCCTCTCTCTCTGCCCCTCGCCCGTTCATGCTCTGTCTCTCTCTGACCCAAAAATAAATAAACGTTGAAAAAAAAAATGTAAATTCTGGAAGGCTGGCACAAGCGGCGCCTTCATTTGAAGACTCTGGAAAGAAGGGGAAACGTTATGAGGAGATTAGTGTATTCTCCTTTACTCTGCTGGTTGTCTTTCCTTGCCTGAAATGTTATCACCGAACCGCAAGGAGGAGCTATCGTCACACAGTTTGTCACTGGCTCCTGTATTTGGAACAAAAACAACATGGCGCTTTTCCTGTAAGCTGCTTCTTTGATTCGCTCCCTGAAATACACTAATTATTTCATCAACCAGGTAGGGCAGTGGTCAGTGAATCACACAAGACACATTGTCTACCATGACCTTGGTATTAAATTTCTCTTCCCTCGTACAAAAACTTCTTGGTTGCGTGAGGAACTTTGATATTATCTATACCATCTCAACTCTTTTTTAAAAATTTTGTGTATATATATAAAAATTATATTTATTTTTATTTTTTAATTTACACCAGGTTAGTTAGTATATAGTACAATAATGACTTCAGGAGTAGATTCCAGTGATTCATCCCCTACATATAATACCCAGTGTTCAACAAGTATCTTCCTTGATGCCTCTTACCCATTTAGCCCATCCCCCCACCCACAACCCCTCCAGCAACCCTCAGTTTGTTCTCTGTATTTAAGAGTCTCTTATGTTTTGCCCCCCTCCTTGTTTTTATATTATTTTTGCTCCTCTTCCCTTATGTTCATCTGTCTTATATCTTAATTTCCATATGGCATTAAATTATTTTCCTTTCGAACAACATGCTCTATGGCTTTATTATCCAATATGGCACCCAGTAGTCAAACATGGCTACAGACATTTAAGTTTAAATACATTACAATGAAATGAAGTTAAAACTTCAGTTCTGTACTTGGACTGTGGACATCCAAGTACTCAATGGCCACATGTGGCTGGAGGTTCCCATGTTAGAAAGCACAGACATAATACATTTTTGTCATCACAGAAATTCCTATCGAAGAGTGCTCCTCTAAATAACTACAGTTATGTGTTATTGTAATATGTTACAGAACATATTGAATATAACGATCATTCAGACAGAAAGCAAAGTCCCTAGTTAGAGAAGCATTTTTCCTATGTTGTGCTTACTTAGTACTAGAGAACAATAAACATTTTTTCTGACTTTTAAGATCATCTCTATATTTAAATTTTCCCTATTTTTTATGTTAATGACCACGTACCAATGCAACTAAAGGAACATCCTGAGAAGCAGAAGCTGGATCCCGTGGTCAGATAGAACTTCCTCTGTGATTCCACGGTGCAGAATTCATGCTCTCAGGAAGGTCTGTTTAACAGTAAAACAGAATTGGCTTACATGGTCCAATGCAGTAATTCTTAAAGGGTGAGGCTCCAACATTTACATTCGCTTTAAAAAAAGAGGGGGACCCCAGGAGTAGGTATTAAGTGTGTAGTGAGGTCGGGGGCGTCTATTCTTTTATAAGCTCCAGGTGATTCTTACCTGCCCTATAGTTTAACCACCACCAAGAAGCTGTATTTGTGTGTTAGAGTATATTAAAGTGATTTTAAAACACAAGTTCTGTGCAACTATTCACGTAAGAGGAGAATGCTTCTCTCCTATTCCTCATGTTCCCTAAAGGGGAGGAAACATGGATTCCTTTGGAGGAAAATGAATGGGAGGGACACATCTGTTCTTTTTCGTTTTACTCCCTTTCTGTTTCTCCCTGTTAGAGGAGGAATTACTTTCCAGACTGGTCACATTGGAAGTAAAAAATCAGCTCATATGTCTCATCCCCTATGGGATTTTCTATCGCTCTATAAGAGGGTGGTCCCTACAAACACAGATATTCTGGGATGATCAGTCCGGTAATTTCCTAAGAGCATGTCAGGGGATCCCGTTGTGACCAGTGCACAAGACACGTTCTCCAATTCAGCCTTATTGACAATAGGGCTGATAATTTCTTCCTCATCCAATCGGTTCCAAACCCAGGAGTTTGAGTCTCTCGAGCCCTGACCAACAAAGCTGTAGGGGTCCTGAATTGAATGCAGGTTAACTGCTTGGAAGGGTAGTATGTTCATAGTCTATTTTATATCCACCTCTGTAGGCACACACACCACCCCTACTTTGATACACCGTTGCTTCCTACAACAGACAAAAATGTCTTCCTTTCTTCCTGAATTAAAGAAACGTGCCTGATGGCGCACCTGGGTGGCTCAGCTGGGTAAGCGTCTGACCCTTGGTTTCAGCTCTGGTCATGATCTCACGGTTTTGTGAGTTCAAGCCCCGAATCAGGTTCTATGCTGGCAGTGCAGAGCCTGCTTAGGATTCTTTCTCCCTCTCCCTTTGCCTCTCCCCTACTCATGCTGTCGCTGTCTTTCTCAAAATGAATAAATCAACTTAAAAAATTTTTAAGAAGTGTGCCTGAGGGATGGAAGTGTGTACCTTATGGTAAAGGGAGACACCATGCTTTGGAGTGTGAAATGGCCGTCAGTGGGAAGTTGTGAAGATGCCTCCCTAGGTAGCCCTCACTCATTTCGTTCATCATGGAGGGACACTCATTTTGTTGATCATGGACGGACACTCATTTCGTTCATCATGGAAAGAGGTGTTTGTTTCTCAATGGCTCTCAGGGGATGCAGTGGGTTTGTCATGTGGCTTGACAGCGTTTTACCTTTGTTACAGGAGAATATACAAAAATGGTACAAATGTGGGAGGAGCTTACTGGTAGGTCCACTCGAACGAGGGCAGTAGCTGGATATGGCCTCCTGTTGGCTTGGCATCCTCTGTCACCAAATGGCATCCAAAGGCACTATGGTTCCTTTCCTTTGTTCAAATATATGTTGGTCTTTGTAAAATATGTGTTTATATTATGAGTAGAATGAGGTAGAGACAGAGAAGGGAGAGTAGCCCAGGTCGCTTTGGAAAAAGGAAGGGCCGTAATAAGAACACAAGGGACTCGCGAGCCTTTTTTAATCATACATAATAATTACACAGAACACCACTAGGTTTTAAGATGATAGATGAGCCAATACTCTCAAGATAACAGCCAACTCTTCAGCCTCAACTTTTGGATCCTGGGAAATGAAATGTCTGGATGCTGCTGCCTGTTACAAAGTAGTGGCAACGAGTCACAATCACCAGCTAATAAAATAAGGAGGGGCATCCTATGACCAGGATGTGATGGACAAGGGGCGGAGAAGGAGGCGTCAGCAAGGACGTAGAGGCGAAGAGGACAAAGACGAGACCTGCCTGTTGTGTATTAACAACACTCCCCTTGTGAAATCCAGCCTTGTTCTGACCGCAACCTGTTAGAGTGTGAACCAAGTACCATAAGTGAAAACCCACAGGTGCTTCCCTTCTGGAAGTGGTAATAAACTTGTGCCGAGGCAGCGAGCAGGAACCTGTGCGAAAGACCTTCGGAGGACCCCACCATCCATGAGACCCAGTATTGCCACCCTCTGGCTACCACCTGCAGAAGAGAATTTCAGATTCAAGAGGGAACTAAACTGGGGCACCTGGGTGGCTGAGTCAGTTTGGCTCAGGTCATGATCTCACGGTCTGTGGGTTCGAGCCCGCATCGGGCTCTGTGCTGATAGCTCAGAGCCTGGGACCTGCCTCAGATTCTGTCTCTCTCTGCCCCTCCCCCACTCACACTCTGTCTCTCTCAAAAATAAATAAACATTAAAAAAAATTAGGGGGGACTAAACCTCTATTCCAAAAAAGCATGTCTATAGTAAATTATTAAGACCC